AACTGACTGTGAGAGATGCATTGTCCGGGGTATTTAAAGTAGTTTGCAAGTGATTGTGTTTGTGATGTAAAAAGTCATGACCTGTGGAGTTCACGCACTCACATAACTGTTCGACTGGTATCTTATGCTGACATTTCTGTGTCAAATTACACAGTGTGATAGAACACGCAGCGTGATGGAAAACAGGGTGAGAAGTCAAATGTCAGAGGTTACAGTATGTCACCTTCCTATTGGCTCAACCCTGATTCTGATGATGATGTCACAGCGAGTAAGGAGTGAAAGGAGATGCTGCCCTTCATATAGAGATCACCTCACAGCCTAGGATCCAGCAAGACCCAAACTTTCCAAAACCCAGTCTCTTGGCAGGCAGATTTTTCCAGTGGCTCTGTAACTTGACAAGGAAAGGTATCCAATTTTGACACATATACCTCTGTGCATGTTAATTTTTAAACACAAAGAGTCAGTGTCAGTTCAGCTCAATGTTTGTGTATTCCTGCGCCAAATATAAGAAAAGAAAAAACAAAACACATATATATATATATACTGGTATAGGTATATATCAAATATATCAACAGATTTTCAACTGAACACAAAAGGATGCCTTTTCTCAGAACTAATTTCACATTTCTGATTTTTGCAATGAGTTTTAAGTGACTGTTAATATAATTTTTTTTTAGTCAGTGTATTAAGTCACTACAACTTACTGAATAATTAGTGTCTCATCTGATCACTCAATGAGTGTTTCATCCGCGGAAAGACAGGTGATTGAAAACACTGTCACATAACCTCAGAAAATCCATCCAGTGTCCATACACTAGCGAGAAAATGTGCACTAGAGAGGAGAATTTTGCAAAAATTACATTTATTATATATTTTTACTCATATAATGACTATTTTTTTGATTATAATTAATAAAAATGTATAGATATTACTTTATTATAAAAATGGTCTATAAGAACTTGTATACAAATCAATTGTTACTTTTAAGCTTAACAATAGGGTTCCCTGTATAGTTTAGTTTAGAAAAATTGAGAAAAAATAGCTTACACAATCACAAGCTTGTTAATTATTCCTGAATAATTCTTCACTCCAGGTTTGAAATAAATTGAAGTTTTAGGTTTCCCGAGCAACATTTACTAAAATGTATACGTTAATGTTAGATATTTTGCTCCAACTGCTGGTTAATCAGATGATAGAAATAAGAGAAATAAGTCCCAACAGACTAACATTTGAAGTTACCATAAGTATAGCTGTGTGGGGTAATGTGAAGTAATCAGCAATCATAGGATTTATTCATGCGTTTTTATGCCAGGTTGGAGTTATACACAGATTTTCTGTCATGGTCTAGGACCCCCTGAATTAGCCTTGGCCACCCGAGCTCTGCCACTGTATGTGCTGACATTTATTTCTCATTAAAAAGACCAGACCAGTTTCTTTAGTCTCACATCAAACGCAAACTGAGATGCAATTTCCACAGAGAGTTCAAGAGGTACAGGCTCAGGACCGAGAAACCGATTTGCAGACTTTGCCGGCTTGCAGTGTAATTGAAATGTAGAGCTCCTCCTCTCCTCTTCTTTCCTCTTCACTTTATAAGACTGCTGTGTCTCTTTGAATGAAGAGCTCTGAACTCTGCGTGTGTGGAGGAGTGTAATAGACTGACCTTTCAGTAATTTTGTCATCTCGTTCAAATTCACTTCAGGCCTGTTTTCTGACATTTTCTATTCATTCAACCAATTAGCACTTCATGCATCTGCCTACTCTCCCTTGGCTTTTGTGGAAGTCTCAGATTGAAAGCTTCTCTGAGGAAAATAAGGAATTAACTGAAATTTCTTTCAATATCCTGATGTCCTCCAGCTGAAAAGAAATCTCTAACATCAGACCGCAATGTTAAGTTTGATTGAAGTATGAATACAAATTTTATTGATAGTGTGTTGAGTGGCTTTTCAACAAGTTATAAAATTGGAAAAATTATTCACTCTATATCATCTTCATATAGCACTACATACATTATATCAGTGCTCAAACGTTTAAAAGCACTTTACTGAATTTACTGGGTTTTGTGTGTGTGTGTGTGTGTGTGTGTGTGATACTTTTGATCTAAAGACTAGAAACCAGTTTCAAGCATTTAAGCTTAAGATTAAGCTTAAATTTAATTCATTTTGTAGATAAATTGTTCCATATGAATTTCTTTATAAAACTAAAACTGAAAAGATGAAAAGAATGAGCTGAACTGGATAATGAAGTCAACAAGAGCTTCAGCTTACATGTAAATTCCTTCAGTACTGTCTAAAAAGCAATTGTGGATGAACATACCTGAACTTGTTTGTCATAAGTTTAGACAACACCAACTATCTAGAAACTATCACAGAAAGACTGTGTTTACATTTATATTGACTCATATATATATATATATATATATATATATATATATATATACACACACACACACACACAAACAAAGAAAAACAAGTAGATAGAATAAAAAAATAGTAATTATTTTGAATTAATGCTATTCTTTTAACTTTTCTATTCATCAAAGAATCCTGAAAAAGTTCAACAAAAATATTAGGCAGCTCAACTGATTTCAACATTTATAGCATAACTGAAAAGTGTCATTCAGCTTTGCATCACACAAATAAATTACATTTTGAAATATATTGAAATGTGCTGAATGTATGGAATGTCAGGTGTCGAGGAAGAAAGACTGTAACAATAATCATGATTTTATGGTGAATCCACACTCATGCTCACAAATGCAGTGTTTGCAAGATATTGTCTAAGGGAAACAATGATGGCAAACATATTCATGTTTTTAAAGGCCAGTTTCTAGATTTATTTGCATTAATGATGCCCAGATAGACTCTGCAGTGGTGAGCAATCCCACAACATGAATGAATGAATGAATCTGTCACACTACTTGTGCAGCAGTAGATGCAAAAGGCCTGGTGCTCCCTCTGCTGCACAATGCATGTAACAAAGATTTTTTTTAATGCATTTTATATGACATATAAGAATCTGTCAAATGCAATATGACAGAGTTTAATGTGATATTCTAAACATGAACAGGCTTTTTTACATAACCCTCAGACATACAGATCTAGAGTTCCAGTGTGACACATAAAAACAACTGCAACTTACTTCGGCTGTCTGATGCTTTTATATATTAGAAGGGCTTTCCTCTGTGAATCCTTATCGCTTGGCAACAGAAGCTGTAAGGCTTGAGGGTGATTGGAGGAGAGGAACGCAAGGTAAAGCATGACATTCAAGAAGCAGTGAATGAGTCCGTCCCCTCCACCTTCCATCAGTCAGAATGGATTGGGAGAGCGGCAGACCAGAAAAGGGAAAAACACAAAGTGTTCAAATAAACTCTACAGGGTATCCTTTTCTCCTAGCTCATGTGGCCCCAAAAACACCCCAGGGCACCAAAATGTAGGTAAAAGGCGGTAAAAAGAATCCGTCCTGACACTTACAAGCTCCCACAGAGACTTGAAGCTCTCTGCTTATAAAATATTGAACAGCTAACACAATTCCATCTCAGAAAAAAAGCTTAAAAGGAGGTGCAAAGACAGCAGGGAATGATAAAATGGCTACTCATTCTCACCAGCAGAGGTCAATGTTTTCAAAGCATTCACATATGATTGCTCTGCTCAGTTTGCTGGTGAGTCTGCAGCAGCTGAATGTAAATGGCTTTATGAATGTGTATTATTTGCATAAACCAATCAACTAATAAATAAACAAATGTAATCGTATAATATTAATTATGGATCATAAAAGCAGATTGCAGTGGCAGTGAAAAGGTCACTGACATATGATTTAGTGAATGCCCAGACAATTACAATCTGTGTTAAATAAATGTAATTGCTATGAGATGCTATGGAGAGGTCCAGGAATCTGCGTGAGTCTTATTCAGTACTGATGGCTTGGAACTTTGTCAGTACTTTTTGTATCATTTGAACCCAGTTGACTTTTACAGTGCTTTGTTTTTGGAATGATGAATTTTAACATGCATTTCCATGAGATGACAGCATAAAACTGATGTTTAAGTGATTCTATATTTGTAAGATAAAATATTTGAATTAATAGTTCACAAATAAAGTGTGAGTGTAGGTATTTAAACATGTACTTTCACAGTTCAGATGATTGCTGTTAGATTATCATTATATCAGATTATCATTATAATATAAAACATATAGCAAAGTATCACATATAGAACAGAAAAAAAGACAATTTTCACAAGGATTGTAACCTGTACATTGGAAACCTGTACTGTGGGTGAAAAAACATAGGGTACTTGAGCTTGTTTGTCAGAAGATTAGACAGGACAGGCACTAGAAAGACCTAGTGAATATATGTATAAATCCAGATGAGACATGAGTTATTTGAATTCTCTGTAGTTTATGCAAAGATAAGCACATATTGCAAATATGTGGAATGATAAAGTTGCGGAAATATTTGAAATATTAAAAATGTTAAATATTTCAATATATAACTGCATACTAAAACACAATATAATATTGATCATATTTAGATTACACATTATTCATATTAATAACATTAACAATATCACTTGAGAACACAAACTGAAAAAGTTAGAACTGCAATTACAATACAAAAGAAAACTCCATAGGAACAGCGATTATATTTGTAGGATTATATAATACGTGTGGAGAGTTTATTTCAATATGTAACTGAATATTACAATATTTTATATGAATCAATATGGATCATATTATATTAAACACTTGTGTATCCTACCATTTAATATTATCATTTGAAAACACATGTTCCAACTGCTTTTAGAAAATTTGAACTGTAATTACAAAACTAAAGTTTGCAATCTCTCAATTTTTCTGATAAACTGAACTTGTCAGTCTGGTCAATGCGAGGCTGCTTTCAGTGCATGCGAGCTCCTGATGAGGCCAGTGCTAGCTGCCTCCCGCTGTCAATCAAACGATGGCGTCATGTATCCCCAGCGTTTCCGGTGCAGGTAGGCGGGGCTCTGCTATCCCGGGTCTGGATTCTTCATTCGGGAGCGCTGGACAAGGCTGAACACGAATGCTGCCATATTCGGCTCCACAGAGAAGCACACCGGCTAGCGCAGGTTTACACGCAAGGAAAAGCACCCATTCCCGGTTTTTGGGGGGCGTGTTTATGTAGGTTAAAGGTGTGTGTAGTTCTTCGTTAGGGAGGTTATCATTGAAGATTTCCAGTTGAGCGGAATGAGCGTCCGGTCATCCTGAGACTCGACGGGAGAAAAGCCCCACACATCCCGCAAAGTGGAAACTACAGATTTGTCCGGATTAAGGCAAATGGAGCCGACAGGGCCTCGGGAGTGAGGAGGGGGGTGGAAACGCTGGAAAGCAGCGGAAAACAACCGGGTTAGGCGCATTAGGGCTTCGTTTATCTAAGCACAATGTTGGGCACATTTTGCTAGCTGGCTAGCTGTTGGAGTCTGGGACTTCAGAGCTCCACACATATCAGCCAGATAAATCCTATTTGTATATATTTACAACGCTCATCCTCGGTATATTAATCTCAACAAGAGTTGTTTTATCCTTTCTGGCTGTGGGAGTGGTAGCCAGGCCGCTAAACTGGTAGAAAATGTCTGCGAAGGTGCGCCTGAAGAAGTTGGAGCAGTTGCTGCTGGATGGCCATCAGAAAAACGACCGGTCATTGAGTGTGGAGACACTGCTGGATATTCTCATATGTTTATACAACGAGTGCAGCAACTCGCCCTTAAAACGGGAAAAACATGTGACGGACTTTTTGGAATGGGGTAAGTTGATGTGTTTTGGTGTACTGACTGCACTTGGGTATAGAAATCAGTGCGTGTGCCTTTAAGACCTGTTTATCTGTAATTACATTTGCCTTAATCACCCAGCTGACTTCAGGCTATTGTCAAAGTTGCTGCCGTGACATTTGCTCTTGGGATTCCTGGCCTCGTTGTTTTGACAATACTTCTTGCCATCTGGTTGTTCCAGCTTTAATATTCAACAGCAAGCACACATGTTTATGGATAGTATAAGGGAAATGGTGCGAAGTAGATGCTGCCATTGAAGTTTAATCTGTTCATGGCTTTATAACTTTTTGAGGGTTTGCTTTAGAGATGTGTGTGTATATATGTATATGAGCAAAATATGCAGTTTATTGCAGGTATTACGTTTTTTTTTCTATAGGCAAAAAATAAGATTAAATTCTGATTGCTTGGAATGTATATCAATGAGTTTTATAACAGTATAACAGACTAGTTACATAAAATGCTTGTAATTGTCAGTTGCTACCCTATAACTCTGAAAAATATGGTGTTTATTAGATTATAAGATGATATTTAAATGCTAAGTTTTATTTTCAAAAGTTTGTCTTTTTAATTGTGGGGGCAGAACATAACATATAATAAAATGCAATATAATGATGATTGAGAGATAAACAAATGTTCCTCAAATGCCTGATTTATTATGTTTTATACAATTTTAACATGACTTTTCTAAAAAATAAAAAAAAATGTATGGATAATCAAGTAAACCTAAATTGCTTCAGTCCAGTAAATGTTCACCTTGAAATATTAAAACCAAATGAAGTTCTTGCATTTACTTTATAAAAATCATTAAAGATTTCACAGCAGGAAGACACATGAACCCCAGCCTGAGGGTGGATGTTTTTAAAATGATAAACTTTCAATCAGATGATGAAAGGTATGTAGTAGTAGATTGTGTACAACAGTTTTTTTTAGGAATATCTGCTCACATGCATAATATAGAGACCTTAGAAATTCATCAGATATGACACAGTAGGCTTTATAGGGTTAATCAGATATTGCTGATAAATATCGGACAAACCAGTTGGACTTTGTTTTCGAGGTTAATGTAAATATTTTCCTTTATAATGTTTGGGCACATGGATTCCTGTTGATGTTCTTGCATTTATGCTACATTAGTTGTTGCTTTTGCCATTACCGTTTGCTTGAGTGTGATGCTCATTAATCAGTCTGACAGGACTGTCTTTCGGTCATTGTGGTCTTTAAGAGTCTGTTGCTTTCTGGAAGAGTTCAGTTTAAAATGTAAACAGGACTGCAGTAGGTGGGTTGCCCCTTTTTGGGCTCTTCCTGGTCCTTTTGATTGAGGTTGGCCTTCACAGTGAGTGGATTCTCTGTACTGGGTGTTGGGTTGACGTCAGTAATGAGATTACAGCCCAGTGTGTCTGCTCCTCTAAAGACCGCCAGTGTCCTCGTGCAACCCGTCACTAGCAGGTGCCACCTCACATCCCATCACTGTGAGTGAGCCATAGTATGACCCAATTTCCAGGAGTCATAAACTCCTCTGTTCTTGTCTTACTGCAACACTGGTAGGCCACACGCTTTCTTATGGTGCCCTTGACTGTGGAAGTTAACGATTTACATGGAGGATGTTATGCTGGCGCCGGTTAAACACAAGCAAAGCAATAACGTCATTGTAAATTGCAGTATTGGCAGAATGGTATTAGCTCTCAATATGTGCTTTCCATTTTATAAAGTGCTCCTCAAGTGAAGATCTTAGTATGGCCACTTTTAACCGTGGAATTGTAGTACAATTGTCAATTTACCTGTTCTGGTAAATACCATATCTGCTATTCACACATGGTTTTCTGTCTTTTAACTTTTGTCAGTTTTGAATTGCTACTGTTGGCACATCAACTCCAAAATAGTGTTAAATCTCTGTGATGTTTGCTGGAAATGAACGATTGACAGTTTTGGTGGAAATATAGTAAGATAATAAGAGAAGCTCTAACTGCAGTCTGTTGACTGAGTTCTTCATCTGCTGATATAGCGAGAAACTTCGTTTCAGTGTCTGTCCAATTTGATGACATTTAGATAATCACAGTTTTTGTCCCCCACTACATTTGTTGAGTAATTGCATTAGCTCTTTCAGAACTTTCTGATTGGCTGAAACACTTTGACTCCAGACTTATTGTTTAAGAGTGTCCCGACCTTTTATGTGCTTGAACACATAATTTTATGGCTGTGTACTAGGGCTGCAACAAACGATTATTTTGATAATTGATTAATCTAACGATTATTAGAACGATTAATCGACTAATCAATTATTTCACTGATTAATCAGTAGACACTTATTGATTATTCAGCTTTTGCAATTAGTTAAAATGTTGAGTTATACATATTCTAACAAATAAATTAAGGTAATCACTTCAGCTTTTGAAAGTCATATGATGTAATTACAATTATACAATACATTTATACAAATAAATATATTTGGCACACAAAATGAGATGGCAGAAAAACTCTTATTCACCATTTAATGAGCTATATGAGAAAGTAGCTGAATGACACATCATTCTGCCTAAAATCTCTTTTTGTAAGTCATATGGATAAGAAACAAAATAAAGGTTAAGTGATGAGATGTTTTATTTTTGGATAAACTATTTTATTCACAACATAATCTCTCTTAAAAAAAAAAAAGCGGTGTCTTCTTTTCTTGAATTGCATCAGGAGAGCTGAATTACAGTCTTGCGCTACAGCGCCACACTGGTCAAACCGCGTTATTGGAGGCTCTTACATTAGGTCATATGAGATCAAACAACTACTCGACAACAAAATAATAATAATAGTCGATAATGTCGACTAATCGTTTCAGCCCTACTGTGTACAGAATTTGTAATTTGTAGCTTGAATACAGAGCCTTTTCTTCAGTGTTATTAGTAATTGGACAATATTTGGCCATTTTGAGAATACTAGCATTGGCCGTTAAAGATACCATGAAATCAGAATTGACAATCCTGTTTTTAATAGAATATTGCAGTGTTTATTAAAAAGTATTCATCCATGCACATCACTATTTTTTTCATGGACGCAATTAGCAAACCACAACCATACAATCAATTCCCGATGGATTAAATAAAGTCATGCACTACATTTTTTTTTCTCATCCAAGAAACTGTTGCAATTGGAAAGAAAAGTTGATGACAGTTCGTGCTTCATGCCAACGTAGTCGAGGCACACCAAACCAACAACAACAAATTAGCGGCAACGAAATATGAATATGAATCATATTGATCACTTTCTTCATTCCAGACAGCCATGTTGTTATGAAAATATACATGTATTGGAATGCTCTTGCACTTGTTCGCTAAGCTGATCTGTCGAGTGCCCAGCACCAAGTCAACATGCTCAATTAGCCAAAAAGCCACCAGTGGGGTCCGACTAGTGGCGAAAGTGCGGAATACACTGCAAAACCTGAACTGACAGACTCAACGACATCCTCATATTCAACAATGGCTGACCATCTGTTAGTCACAGCCCTAAAAGGTCAACTTGGTCAGTTAACAGTGTGTTTATTTCCCCACTTGTCAACTCTCAGTTTCAAAGTTTTCAGTTTCAATTAATATTTAAACAATTTATGGGTTACACTTTATTTTAAGGTGATGTTATTACTAGTGGTCGACCGATATATTGCCAAGGCCGATATATCGGCCGATAGTTGGCATTTTTTAAATATCGGCATTGGCCGATAAGTTTTCCCGTTTGGCCGATGCGTTCGAGGTTTTATTTTGATGGCGCGACAGACTTTTATTTTGGTGGCGCTGAGAACGGCAGCGCCTGGGCACACAGTGCTCACATTCTCCCTCTTGTTCGCTGTCGTCGTTAACAGTTCTGTCTAAATACGGATAGAAGTCTGTCTAATAATCAGATAGAACGGTTAAACAAAGGAATTAAAATTTATACAAAGTCTTTATAACGACTGCTTTTATATTATTAGTAATAGAAAGGCAAACATTATTATACTATCTTGTTTGCCATCAGCATTCAGCAAATACACATTTATATAATTTAAACAAATCTTTGAATGTCTAATAAACATCCAATTTCAAAAACCTTGCAAACTTAGTCGGATCCAGCTGCGAGATCTTGTGAAGTGTGCATTTGTATCCTGCATGATCGCGTGTTCTCTGCGTGACGGTCAATCCGTGCGAATTGAATGCTGACAGGAGGAGAGTTCAGCTTTACTGGAGACGCACGATCGACAAACTTTAAACTCGTGATTTTAAATTATGCTGCGCTTTATGCATTTGCCCACTGTCATATTCATGTCATTTTCACTGTGTGCTGTAAATGTAAAATGAGTGTTACCTTGGCTTTATTTGAAAAAATATGATTAATGCACACAAACTTCCCAGAATACTGAGTGCCCTGTTGGTTACAGTGCTTGCTTCCTTTTTCTATTTTTATTAAATATTTATTTATTTGTGAAAAATACTTTGTCATCTAAAGTGTAAGTATGTTTATTTAACACATTTTTAAAAAAAATAAATTTTCAAATGATTTCAAATTTCTTACATATTAATTAGAATAAATAAAATTATATCGGCTTTATATCGGCCATCGACCACCCTGCTTTCCAAGATATCGGCTGTCAAAAAACCAATATCGGTCGTCCACTAGTTATTACAGTGTTGTTACACAAATAAGCACTGAGTAATATTAATCAACAACATCAGCCACACTGCTTTATAGTTACTTTATATACTGTATCTGCCACTGAAAAACTTATATTGGTGGACTACTAGTCACAACTTAAGTGAGCTGATTGATCATCATTTTGACAATGGATGCTGTTAATACATGACCTTTTAAATAAAAAAAATTATGGTATTAAATACACAGAAAAGGCTGCATGTGAACGCCTTTAGTCAGTGTTTCAAATGTTTCAGAGGCATGAAACACATTATTTTGATATTTTTTAGGACTGGGCGATATTGGACAACTCGCATTGCAATATTTAATTT